CACAAGGGACTACCAAGTTAAGATTTATAACTGTTCTCCAGAGGCATTTACTAACCCTAGCAAGCAGAACACATACTTTTGGGAGCTTTGTTTTTTAGGGAGTAGCACTATGCCTTTATTTTGCCTGATTATTTGTGCCTGCTTTAGATGGTAGATACGATCTGATGTGCTGATCTTCCATTACGAGAGCCTCCACTTTTCACCACTGACTGTCTAAGGAAAGTCTGCTCCTACCTTAGGTGCTTGGAAATCTCACCATCTTAGATATTAATTAAAAAAAGACTGACAATTAAAAAGCTTGGATTTTTCTTTTTGGGGTATTTTTTTGCCCTGTGCACTTTGAAGTTGTAGGGAAGAGCCCAAACTCCCTTGGAAAACTGGAAAAAAGTATTCTGCTTGGAGGTAGTTCTGGTCATAAGTTATAGTTTGTGTTTTGTGAACTCTTTGATGCTCACTATTTATGGGATGTTACTGGAAATCACTGCAGTACTTGGAAGATGACTACATTAGTATGATCTTCACCAGAAGCTGATTACTAGCTGACACTGCCGTTAGAAGCTAAGCTGGTGAACACGATATCAAAGGGAAGACTGAACTAATTGGAAAATAAATAAGGGCAAGGGAATAAAGATCCTCTTTTGATATGAGAACCTTTGGTATAACAAAGGAACAATGAAAGAACAATAAAAGCCCATTAAATTGCAAATGTTCAACTCTTTCCTCTAAGTGTTAGCAGCCCTTTAAAAGTGAGCAGTGTTTTAAATCTAGGGGGATTTGAAATCCTCCCGGACAGAAGCAGTTTGTCAAATATTTGTAACTTAAATAAAAAGAGGAGGAAAAGTGCAAACTCTTCCCATATTGTCCAGAACCATCAAAGCTACATGCCAGAGGTATGCCGCCAGTGTAATAAAACCCATCATTTTTATTGCTTTGGGAATGGGGATGGAAGGAACCTGCCAAGAGATGCTAAGAATGAAAAGCTGTGCCTGAAGCCTGATGGGAGTTTAGTTTATTTTGGTACACTCAAAACTGTGTCAACCTTTTCCATGAATATTTCATTGGTTTTTAAAAGGAAAATTATCATGGCTCTAATACATTACTACTTATATTTTAAAGTGTTTTCAAAATACTTATTTTATTCCTTCTCTACACCCTTCTGCAGCAGGCCACAGAAATGCTGTGCTGCATAAAGAGTTATAATAAGGCTCTGAATGATATATTTGATATAGGAATGATTTTGATATGTCTTTCAGATGTTAGCCTGAAGAAATTCTGTTCCGGGTTGCAGTCACTGGGATCCTTGATTCATATGGGACCGCAGGCAGTCTGTAAGTCCATGATTCATTTATCATTCTGAGTGTACTTTGAGTTTTCCAGGAAAGGTGGAGTTTGAAAGACCTGGAATTGCTATGTATTTTCAAAAAGCCAGAAGACTGGATGGAGCATGGGATAGGAGAGTGGAGTGCAAACTATATTCTCTTCATATCAGTTGCTCAGACTCAGTTGTGAAAACCAGTTTTGAGTATCATTGTCGTTCAGAGGGTATTTAGTGACCTGCGGGAGGAAATCACTGTGATCCTAAAGAAACAGTTTTCCACAGCATGCAGAATGCTGCATGCCAACACACCTGTTGGTACCTTGGTATCTTGGTGTTCCTGCTCTGGCAGGGGGATTGGACTAGATGATCTTTCGAGGTCCCTTCCAATCTCTAACATACTGTGATACTGTGTGATACTGTGATACCTAATGAAAATAGCCTAGAGGGGAGCAAGGAAAGGTACATTTGTTTATCTGGGCTGTTGAACATCCTCTGTGAAGACACAGAACACACTTTGAGGGGTTAGTTCTGTTGGTATTGAGAAATCAGGTTCTATAGCAGTAGTTCACCAGGAGTTTCCTCAGGAAGAAAAAGCTGCTTATCATTGTTACCATCACTGTTTCAGATTTCTTCTTTGTAACATTGCTAATCTGATTCTTTCTGAAGGCTAGACAATTTCAGAAGGTAAGTTTCCTTTGTAACTTTGTTGCTGAGATAGAGAAACCATAATGTCCCTTTCATGGAGCCTGGTCTCCTCTCCCTCTTCAGGTTACTTTCCATGGTTCTTTTACCCTATGTTTTTCTTGGGTGTTCTGTGACTCCATCCCATCTGCTCTCCCAGTCTCTCCAGTATTCTGCCTGGGACATGGGTTAATCTATGGGTTTTGTAAGCGGTGTGGCTTTTTACCAGGAAACAAAAGGAGATAATTTCAGGACAATTAAGAATTGTTTGAAGAAAGGGACTGTCACACCTGTACCTGTTTGGATGCGATGAAAGGAACATAAAGTCATAAGGATTTCTTAACAGTAAAAGAGCTAATATGAGAAGAGATTCTACCAGTTACCTTGTTGACTGGCAAAGCTCACAATCAAAGCTGCAGAGTGAATTTGAAACCTGTGATTCTTTCCAAGGTGAATATGGTGACAAAATGATTAGCCACTCTCAGTGCACGTCGATCTTAATTAAAGCCTATCCCCCGTGGTGATGCTATAGGCAGCCCAGCTTCCCCAGACACAGCATCAATCTTGTAGACAAAGACACTTCTTGAGGACATGTGCTATAATATTTTTTCTCTCCCATGTGGGGCTTTAAAGCAGAAGCATTCCTGTGGGCTCTAGCAGCCCCCAGGATCAGCAGCTCAGCACTGCCCCATAACCACTAAAGCATTTCCTAGGGTGTGTACATTCCAAGAGCTGACACCAGGCTTTCTTTTTCCTTTTGTGCTGTTAAACTAGCAATAAACATTCCAATAGGATCAACTTACAATATACCTTCATGAGTAGAAAGCCTCTCCAGCAGAAGGAATGGCAGCTTCACGTTGTTCCAGAACAAAACTCTGGGAGAATCACACTTGACCGGTTTTCCATGTGCCACCTGATTTCACTGATACACTTAACAGGCAGCTGGCAAGTTTGGAAGAATGAGACCAATAGAAAATTGTGGCCATAATGCATTTACCTCAAGCAGCTGTGTATTCAAATTGTGCTTAAGAACTTAAAAGGAAATTCATAGTACTCAACTTGTTGAATTGGTATTGAACTCCTGAATTGGTATTTCACTTCATATAATTACAACTTACTAGGCAAATTTAAGTGGAAATAGTCTCTTTAAAATCCCTTTATAAAATACAAGGGGTGGTGTACACAGATAGTAGTCATTTTTCAAAGTCCATAACTTCATTAGGTTAAGAGCAAAAATCCAAAACACAGCTCTTTCCGTTCACTCAAGTTGCTTAGATTGGACCATTCTGTTTTAAGTATTGTAAAGCCAATTCTGAAGGACACCACCCTCATGGGATCTAAATACAAAAGCATTAGATGAAGAAAAGTGTCCTTTTGAAGTCTGGGTGTGAGAAAACTGGTAGTGGCAATGATATATTAATGTGTCAATGATGAATAAATACAAAACCTTAAAACTTGAACCAGCAGCAGTCTCATACATCATTCTCTCTCTTTTTTTAAAGGATATAAAAGATTAAAATGTCAGAACTATAATTTCAGAACTGTGTATAATGTCAAGTGATGCATGTTGCATACTCTTAGTATATTCCATTGATCAAACCAGATTCTGCGATAATAATTGCAGATGATGAAGCACGTTTCATGTGCAAATGGACATGGATTTTGAAGTGAATTTGGAAGAAAAATGTTTGCATACTGAAGTCTTAATAATTGTTTTGTTCAAGCTGCACTGATCCATGCACAAATTATTTTGCATGTCGCTGATGCTCCTGACAATAATTAATATTAGTGTGATGCCTGCAGGCCACTGTCAGCCAAGGAGAATTTATGATAGAATGTAGTAATCTGATAAAACTTGTTGCAGACTTGAGAGAGAATCAATCCCAACAGAACCTGAGAGAATTACAATTTTCCTTTTGCAGAGAGTTCATGCACCTCCGTTTCAGCTCACAGAATTAATCTCGTTATTTATGAAGTAAGGTTGAGTTGGGTTTAGCCTGGGTTCAGCAGTAGCAGTCATTTTCCTCCTTCTTAGTAGCTGGTGCAGTGCTGTGGTTTTGACTTTTGGCCTGGGAACAGCACTGATAACACCGATGGTTTTAGTTGCTGCTCAGTAATGTTTACTCTGACCAAGGACTTTGTGAACCTCATGCTCTGCCAGGGAGGAGGGGAAGCCAGGAGGAAGCAGACAGGACACCTGACCCAAACTGACCAAAGAGGTATTCCATACCACAGCACGTCATGCCCAGGATGTAGAACTGGGGCCAGTTACCCAGAAGGGTTAGATCACTGCTCGGGTCGGGCTGGGTATCGGTTGGTGGGTGGTGAGGGGTTGTATTCTCTTCCCTTGTTATTTCCCTTATCATTATTATTATTGGTGGCAGCAGCAGTGATTTGTGTTATACCTTAGTTACTGGACTGTTCTTATCTCAACCGGTGGGAGTTACATTCTTTCCATTCTCCTCCCCATTGGGAGCAGGGGGGAGGAAGAGGAGGGGAGGGAGGGAGTGAATGAGCGGCTACATGGTTCTGAATTACTGACTGGACTTAAACCACGACACTTCCTAAGAAAATTAGGTATATATGATCACGCCATCTTTAAATGCCTTCTCTGTACTCCTAACAGCTACCACCTTCAGAGACAATTGCAAACCAGTTTGAAAGAAAGCAGAAATCTCAAAGAGATTAAATTGCTAAAAGCTTTTGCCCAGGTATCTGGACAGGACAAAGATACCTGAAGTAGTACTGTCTGTTGGGGAGGGCAAGAATAATTCAGCTGTTAGACAGCCTTTTTGGCAGAAGCCTGCAGTCCCATCAGTAAGACAAGTCTTGATACCTCTTACCTTTCATCTGATGCAGCTGTGGCAGAAAGCCCAGTGGAAACTAATTGTTTTGAAAAGGAGAGCATACAAATCAAAGGACACACATCTCTAGGAAACCAGTGTGCTTACAAAATGGTTTTAGCAATTCCTTGAACTTCTAATTTTACTCTACAAAAAACAACAGAATTTCATTTCAGCACTTTCATAAAAGGTTAATTTGAAAGAACAGTGGCTGAACCCTGCCAAAACCATCAAAACATCATGTTAGTTTAATTTAAAGATGTAATAAAATCAAAAGTGGTAGACAGCTTGATAAGGAGGATGCACATCTTGAGAACATTAAGCTGACTGAGGTGTTACCCAGCGAATTTACTTCAATTCTGAGTACTGATTAGAGCAATTTTTAGGTAATGCAAATCAGGCTCCATTCTTAATTGATTTGAATACAACACAGTCCTACCTAGAAGATTATGTCCACACTTTAGACGGTAGGCTTAAAAGCCTGTCCCGATAAGGAGAAATCCATTAACTCCATGTCTTCTAGAAAGATTGCATTTTGTGATATTTTCATGATTTTATTGATTAGACTGAACAGCGTTCATGGAGAGCAAATAAGTTATTTGTACTGCGTCAAATAGCTTTTCTATCATAAGTGTGGCTGTCACAGTCATTAGTGAGGGAAAGAATAAAGAAGATAAAAGGAGAGATACGAAGTCAAGAGTGAAAGTTATTACTCCTGGAGCAGGCTGCTCAGTTTTGCCTGGGCAGGCTTCGATGACATCAAGCTCTTGAAGGTACCACGTATTATCTTCCTTGGAATGACGACAGAGATGCTGCTTCTGTCACTGGATCCTTCAGATGCTGTGTCTCCTGCCGTTCTGTATGACTTTGAGTACGTTGGAAAGGTCAAAATTTTTTGTAATCAACTCCATGAGGTCCTCGTCGCTTTCAACACCAGTGATAAACTCTTCTAAAGTCAGTTCCCCTAAAAGGAATTCACATACTCCTTAGGAACCAAGAAACCCAGCAATCCCTCTCCATTCAACACAAGGCCATTCATGCCAGATCGAATCCCTCGGGAAGGTTCCCCATTCTCTGCTGATAGGCAAATGCAGGAAGAGTATTTGCTAATGTTTTCCCACTTTGCATCAGATCCCAGAACTCAGACTCACTTTTTTTCTGTTAAAACAGTTCAAACACAGCTTTCACTGAAGTCTAAGACAACTGTGAGTACTCCTAAATGTGAAAAAAGGCGCTAACAAAACCTTGTATCAAGGGTGAATTTAGGTGTATGGTCCAATTCTCACTGGAGTTTATCTTCTAGCTAGTTTTAACAAAAATTAAGGGCTTATTTTGCTGGGGATTACCAGGATTATTTATAACCAAGATAAAATATAGGCAAAAAAAAATTTAAGTGTTTTGATTACATAAATTCATGCAAGCAACTGAAATGGTCATTTAAGGTGTGATTTTTGAGGACCATGGCAAAATCAGGCAATACTTTGAAAGTTACAAGACAGCTAAAAGATTTCTTCTATTGAGGAGCAGGAATATTCTTCCTCTTTTCCCACTCTCTTCCCTGTCAGCAAAGGCAAAGGCCCCTCCTAGGAATATGTGTGCTTGTATAGTACACAGGAATGTACGTAATTATCTGGTTAGAAGTTATGATAACTGTGATTATTCCAGTGATAACTGTTTATGAGGGAAAAGCTTTATTTTTACTCAGAGAATGGTATAAAGTTTCTTGTTAAAATCACAAAAGTGAATGATTTGTCACTGAAATAAGAAATGGCAAGAGGCCAGGCAAAGAGGAAGATAGTTGGATGAATTAGGGCCCCAGGGTGCAGGGGAGCAGCAATTCAAGTTGCATGCACTTCTAGTGTATACTTAGTTAAATGACTTTTGTCTATTTTTGGATTTAAGTACTCCCCAGAGTACTTTTGTGTTTTGGTTTTTGCCCATTGCAACCTTGGAAACCTCATCTGAGATGAAAAAGGAAAATGATCAGCATTTGAAAAATGTGAAAACCACTTTCTACATGGGCAGTAAAGGTTGCTTCCTTTTCAGTCATATGAGTCATCACTGCACTGGTGAACAGGCTTCTATACACACTGCTAAAGTGGAAATACATCATTTGACAGAAATCCTGGCTGTTAGGCTTCAGTGAGAGGAGTAAGACCCTCTCCAGGGGCTGGCATGTAGTGTCCTGAGGATGTTTTTGCTTCCTCTTTCAGCACCAGTTCCCCTATAACATCATCCCAGGAGCAGAAATGGAAGAAGCCATCTCTGTATGCTTGTCTGAGTCCTCCTGCTTTTGCCCCTCATCCCTCTGATCTCTTCTATCCCGGGCACTCCTCTTATTTCCCATCTCCTTCCCTCTGTGTTGCTTTTGACTGAGGTCTTTGGCTGGCTGGGGTTCCTGGACTCATCAGATGCACAGGCTGCATCATTTTCATGCTTATGCAGGTCAACTGGTCTTGAATTCCCTCCTCTTGATCCCAGACTATATATTTCAAAGTACCAATACCAGCGTGCAAGCATACCAAATCCACTGCAGTTACCAGGGAGATGTGGTTACACTGGCATACCAAACTCACTGCAACCATGACAGGTCTCAGATTTCCTGGAGCTAATGAAAATAAATCACAAAGCCATTGGGAGTTTTGCTTTAACAATTGCTCCTGACAAGTGTGGGATTATTTCTTGTATTATAATGTGCGGAAGGACATTGCAACTTATTTGTCTATTTGCCCTTTTCTTTACTCAGAAGCCACAAGGAGCTTAAACTACAAGAAAGTAGCATAGTTTAAGCTAAAATTGGTGAAATTTGTCCCATTCCCCAGGTGACGCTGGTCCTGCTGCTTTGCAGCTATTTAAAAAATGGAAAGCAGTTTGAAATGGGAGTATTATGAAGATAAATTGAATAATTCATGTTCTGGCACTTCATTGCTAAAACGTAAGGCGCATGAGTTGTTTTTTCAGCTGATGGTCTAGCTTGGATACAGTTATTGGCAGTAAGCATATGGTCAAAGCAGGAGTCAAAATATGAATAATCACACAATTTGGGTTAGACACTAGATTATGATTATATGTTATTTGGAGTCCTATGGTTATTTGCCTTCGCCCAAAAGCTGGGCCAAGCAGGTGGGGAAAAAAATCCTCCATGAGTTATTCACATGCACCACAACATCACTGTTTGTACTCTGACTGTATATAGCAAACAGCTATTTTAAAAAGTAACCTTAATGTAGCAAATAAGACCAGAAAAATGAACAAAAACCAAAAAAAGCACCCCAGATTCCTCACTAGGTGACTTTGCTCTGCAATGTTTTCCTAATATTCCTAATTTTCAATGATTGCAGTAACTGATGTAAAACACAATTGCTGGTGGAAGGAGGATTTTCATGGCTAGAAGTATGAGGGAAGACATTCCCATGTGCAAGTGTTCTACTAGAAACAACTCCAACTTAAACGTTTGGTTTCCAAATGCAAGTCCAACTGACTCAGTGTACTTACCTTGAATAAAACCAGTGGCATGTGTTAGCAGTCAGCCTTCAAGGGACATTAGTTGGTTCTCTCATCCACTTTAGAGAGATTAAGAACAGAAACACACTAAAATAACCTCCTTGATCACACCTTTGTTCTTCTGTGCAGTCAGAGTACTGGCACTTTGGATGCACAGTGCAAGACCTCCACGTTTTAGCCCCTACTGCATTGTAACTCCTCTGTCAGATTAATAGAGACAGTTGATTTATTTACACTTCACTGTAAAGCTGAAGCAATATGGGTAAAGAACACATTCAGGCTTTCTGTTAATCTAATCCAGTCAAGCCTTCAGTAGCAGGTTCAGCTCCCCTCTTGATCCCACACTTCCTTATGGGGGAAAAGCCCCGCCAGTGCCAACAAAACCTATATTCTTACCGTCATTGTTCACGTCTATCTTCTGAAATACAATGTTTGTGAACTCTTCAGCAGACATGTCACTGTGGCCGTTAATAGCTTGGATAGCCTGAAGGCAGAAAGGGAGAAAGTTCTTTCAGGCTCTTTTCCCCATCAGGCTGTGAAAACAATACACTGGCAGCTGCAGGATTTGAGATGCGGCTCTTTAGCTCTCAAAAAATCTCTAAATATCTCTAAAATCTCAAAAATCACTAAATAAATAGCTGTTTCCAGTAATGAGGATTGGAAATTTAATTTACATAACACAGCCTGAAGATCACAGGCTAATTTCCATATCTCTGAAGGTCTTCTGAACCCATGTGGCACCTCTGCTCTGCAGTACACTTTAGATTCCACACCAGCATTTTTATCTGGCCCTGGAGAGTTCTGTGTCTTTGGCGAGGGCCCTGTGGCCTGTGTGATTTGAGTATTGTTTTTCACAGCTGAAAGCACATGCATAGAAAACTTAAGTCATTTTTCTATTAAGACGTGTTTAACTTAGTAATCACAAATAAAGGCAGGTCAGCAGACCTGGAAGCTGAGAGGATTCACTTGTCCTTCAAATAACTTAAGAAAAGATATAGGTAGAAATACACATGCATATATGTTCTGTAATGGGCATACTACAGAATTTCATTATCTACAGCCGAATTATTCCCGCCATGTGCCAGTTGTTTCTTTCAGTATTCCTGATATTAAATTAGAACTCATTATATTTAAATAGTTAAATCTATTCAGCGCCAGTGTGGAGTTCTTGACCATCACTGTCTTTATCTTACTTTGTACAAATGAGTTCCAGAAGGCAGCAAGAATTTTACAAAGATAGCTACATAAACTCGTTTGTATTAGCAATTCATACTGTAGATACTTTGGTGTTTTCTGTGTCTGACCATGATGCAGTCTGCAGAAGAAACTTACAGCTCTGCCACAGTTAAATTTGTTGTAGTGTTAAGAGTAAGGCAGGTTCCTGAAGTAGAATCATAGAATAGTTAGGGTTGGAAAGGACTTTAAGATTACCTAGTTCCAACCCCCCTGCCATGGGCAGGGACACCTCACACTAAACCATGGCACCCAAAGTATTGTATAAGTACCTAAAGTACTTGAATCACTGACTACCACAGAATCACCTTAAAATAATAAACTACAATAACCGGGCTGTTAAAATGCATATTTGTCTGGAAGGAATTTTGATGGTTGATAATGCTGGTCCAAAGTTTGCATAGCTGTGTGGAGAGATGAAGATTTAATAGGACTTGTGTGATTTAAATTAGTGTCTCAGGTATCATATATCTTGTTGGACAAGCCTAGGTCAAATGACTTGGGCAGGTTTAAGCTAAGGTTCTTGTACCCCAAAAGAGAGGAAAACACAGAGATGTGTAAACTGGTTTTAAAAACAGGCAAGTTGAAAACCAAAACTTTACATTAAAAGTAAAGACCAAGACAAAACAGTCACCTCATTGCCTCTGGGTGAAAAATATGGAGAATAACTTCAAAAGAAAGATGTCATTAGTCTTAAACGAGGAGAAATCTGGGAGGTGCAGCCTCTCCTACCTTTAGAAAGCTGCCCTTTAGAAGGTCATGCATCCACTTTGTTTTTTAACCCTGTGGCTTCATGTGGCTCTGGTTCCTTTCAAACTGGGCAGCAGCTCTTGAATGTCTTTAACAGTGACTAGCCAGGCACTCCCACAGAATCCAGGGGTTTGTTCCTTGTTATATACGTATGTTCTTTGTTTATTATGACATTAAATCCCTGTTTAGATTTTATCCTCCCTGCAGCAAAACCTTGGTCTGTAACGAATCCTGAACATTCAGGGAGCAGGATTAAGTCATTTGTATTTGCAAGGAACCCTATAATACCTTTTGGATGAAAGCAGCTACCAAAGTGCACAACAGTTATTTCACGAAAGCAAGTTGAAAACTACAGAAGTAATTTTAAAGAAAGAAATGCACTGCTTTGGTTTTATGGGTTTGAAATGGACCCATTTTCTGCAAAATTTTCTCCAGTATTTGTATCCAAATGTCACGGCATGATTTCATGGGAAAATTAAATTTCCCCAACTGGATTTTAAAATAGGGGATTATGGCATTTGCAGTAAGCAAATCTAAAAGGCTTTCAAACAATTAAAAGTATTAGGATGACATCTCTATTGCTTCTTGCAGCAAGTGCTGTTTGAGAAGCCGGTCTTCCACACCGGACTGGCACAAACACTTTTAACCAGCTGGCTTATTCATTGTGCTGTTGTTCTACCCTACGTTATAACACCGTTTATCACAATAATGTCTCTCCTGTTTCTAGTTTTTCACTTTTCAGTAAAGAATTATATCTGTAGAACTATGGTACTGCGTAGAGATGTTTACTTCGATAAGCAAGAAACTAATGGCAGGAGCACCGCTAGTCAGAACAATTCTGGTTTTACAACTGTAAAACATTAGATAAAGTACAGACAATCCATTTACAACACATGATGAACCGCTGTTTCAGAGGCTATACACTATGTCAAATGCTCTTGCTATTGGTCATAACTCGCTTACCGTGAATATGCTTACTAGTTCTTTTTTGTCAATACATCCGTTTCCATCAGCATCATATAGCTTAAAATACCATTTCAATTTTTGGTCAATTTTCCCTCGTATAACCAAATTTATTGCGGCTATGAACTCCAAGAAGTCTATAAATCCATCCTAAGAGAGAAAGAGAGAAAAACCTATTTAACAACTTTTGTTTTCTGTTCATTCTGGCAATTTCACAGAAACAGGTCATCAAATTCACTATAATACACATTGAATTATAAAGCACCTTAACATAAAGTCTCTTCTGTAGTGTTTAAAAAGGATATGCTCAACTGGAAGCACTGTAGGGAGGGGTATCGGCACAGGTTTGTTCTCTGAAAGCTGGGGCAGTGGGGGTGAGGGGCAAATCTGTTCTGAACAATCGTAATTGATGTTTTTTTGAGGAGAAGAGAAAGACTTCCACATGTGAAAAAGGGGAGGCTGGGATCTGTGGTTTGGGGCTAATGAGATGTCTGCAGCAGAGTTGCTTATATTCATATGGGTACTGCAGAACTATGGATGACTTCCAGTGCAACAAAGCTGTTCCAGGTGTTATCCATCTGAGAGATCATGTAGCAAGTGTTGTACATGATAACCGATAACCTGGCATGAACCCCAGGTACTGTGGTTTATCCATATAGACATCAGGTCTCTCTGACTAATGCATTTTGCATGGGATATAAAGCCTGCAAGTCGTAAACTAGTTTCTAAACAGTGGGGCTAGGGGTATATTCGCAGGGAAAGAGTATTTCAGATCAATTTAATTCCATATTTTCTGCTTTCTTCTCTGAAGCTACTGATGGAAGCCTGTCAAGGACAGGCCTCCATGGTCAGCTTCCTCTGTTTCTGTTAACAACGTGGTGAGGATGGAAGAAACAGTTGCTGAAGTTGGAGAGTATTTGCTCCAGCTGTTTCTCATGTGCATATAAAAAGAATTAACAGCTGGTAAATTTAATCTTGTGATCTTTACGTTGGTCAGAATCCAGTTGCTTGGAAAACCTTGGAAAGACTGTCATCAGTTTTAGATGGTCTCTGGGTGAGAAGAGAAGGTTGGATGAGTATCTAGTGGGTTTAGCATGTTGCTTATTTTTATTGTCATATATCAGCAAGTGTCCTGCCAGTTGAGGTTTTGCAATCAGCAGGCATTAATCTGTCCTCTAGGCTGTACTATGCTAAAGGGAAAGACGTTCTGTAGAGGTGCAGTGCAACTCATTGCCACACTTCTACTGCTTGTTTTGGTTTCTGTCTAAGGCTGTTTGGCAGAGTGGCACCCAAGAGATAATCCCAATGTTTCAAACACACTGGATTCAAGGTTCATGCAGAAATGGTGTGTGTGTAACTGTTGGGGACAGATTCCTTGTGCGGGTTCTGCTGTAGCTGCTGGATTTACTCTGATTGCAATAACAGCAAACACAGCAAAGGCTAAGACACCATTGAACCACTGTTTGGGATGAAATGAAATTTAGCAGTAACTACATGCAGTTTTCAAACAAGGTTAGGTGCAGTATTAAAAGCAGATGCTTTACCAAAAAAAATGACAGATCATGTACCACAAACTTAATGCTTTTTTTTTTTTGGCACACCAGCTGGAATTTCAATTTTACGAGTATTATTTCAAGAAGCATCTCATCAAGTATTTCACTGAGGGCAAGGTTCATTTTGCTGATTACATTTCCATCATCTGATTTGATAGATCTATTAAAAATGTGGTTAGATGTGTTTCACATTGCTGCTTTTTTATTGCATTTCATGCTACTTACTGAATCTACAGATTAATTTTAGGCTTGCTGGATGCCCATGACCAGATTAATTTTCTTCTTTCTCCCTTACATTTCACTTTGGATCTTGGAAAATGACATTTTGTTTGCTTTCGTTTTGCATCTTGGTTTCACTGTTGTTGCTGTGACAAAACATCAGAAGTTTGGAAAAGGTAATAATCATCTTAAAGTATTTGGGTACGTAATTCTGATCTGGTGAAAGGGACTGAAAGCTAAGGTCAAAAAGCTTCCACCCCTGAAAAACACCTGAAGGAAATTGTAGTTGCTAGGAAAGCCCCAGCCACATTCCATAGACATGCAAGGACCAGCAGCAACATGTTAACTTCAGCAGCACCAGGAATAGGAACACTGAGGAGGAAGACAGATTCATCTACCTGATGTGGAACCAGAAGCATTGCACAGAAGCACTGATGAGAAATGTTCTGGTTTTCTACAGCAAAAAACATGCATTGTAGGAAGAAAAAATTACATGATGTAGAAGGCTATGGCGATCTTTCTACATGTACACAGAGCTTTCTCAGATAAATACTGTTCTTTTCGCAGTAGCATCCAACAGCCTCAGAATAGTACATTAAATAATGAAAAATATCATAGCAGTAACATATGAAGATCATCCTGTGGTTCTGGGAGTACAGCAAATAATAGAATAAGTGTGTGATTTTATTAAAGGAACACTGCTGTTCTGATTTACCCATCTGCTGCTCTATAACCATTCACAATACAAGTATGTAGGTAGGTCTTTATGTATCTCCAGCATGCACATTAAAGTAACCATTGAGCATTAGGAAGTCAGTAATTCACAAGCAAAAGGCTACCATAAAAATAATAAATTATATCATAATAAAATAAAATGAAAAAAAAAACAAACCAAAACCACAGCAACATAATAAGCTGAGCATAATTATCAGTGGTGGGAGATAAAAGTAATTTACTTCTGGAGCTTTACTGTGTCATTCCAAAGGGCAAATTTCAAGTACTTTTATTAAATGGAGTTAAAGCAGGTGAAGCTTATTTGCCAGTTTAGGACTGGACAGATTTGGGTGATGAATGTATTTCTTGTCTATGAAGGTTGATATTCCATGTCTGTATGCTGCTGGCCCTGCCTTCCTTGGCTGCAGCACATCTGGAGGGATGGTGAAGCCCTGCTCCCTTCCCTGCCTGAATAGGGAGAACCTGCTGGGGTAAGCTCACAAAGTATGTCCTCTGGGTATAGTGTAAAACAAGGGGACAGAAATGTCCTGGTGTGCTTCTGAGGAGTGGGTAGGAGATACATCAAAACCAAAATGGGTTAAAACTTCTTTTACAGACCCCAAAGTCTTCTGGACTTTCTGCTTAACATAGCAGACTTCATAAAAGTATGCACTTTTCCTTTTAGGCTCTTCATGGACTGACCAGATGAACTTGAACCTTAAGGACGCATTATGGTTGTGCATGTGTTTATGCCCTTCGATGCTGTAACTTGTTCTGCTTTCACTGATGAGTGACTATTTTAAAGCTGCTTGGAACAGTCTTATTCACAAAACAAAGACAAAAGAGGGCCCCAAAACTGGAAGGAGAATTTGCTGATGGCATAAAATTTGTCCTCAGTAGCTGTCGCTGAGGACACCACCAGTCCTGACTATCCCTGCCCAGGGCTCAGGCCCCATTTCAGTTGTTCATTAGTTACTGGATCACCTGAGGAGAAAGCAATTGAATTTTCTCTTTTTGCTTCAGAATGTCAGCCTGTGTGCAGCTGCTGGAGGCTGCTCGCCTTTGTTTGCTGAAGATGGAGATGTGTGTCCTGCGAGGGCAAAGGCGGGCAGTGAAGGATCGTAGCGTTACACAACAGCAGTTAATACTTCAGCCCCAGAGCTGTAGGAGGGCATTATCCTTTCAGTTCCCAGAATAGCGTTGCTAATCTTCACAGGTCCTTAAAAACTCTCACGGCTTCAAACTATTTGAAGACAGATTAAAACTAATTGACTTCTCGGCTATGAATACACCGCTGATGTGAACAGGCACGGCAGTTCAGAATGAGCTGAACTTGGTGTTTTGGCTGCCTAGCTCTTACTTGAGAGTGGTTGTCTAGCAGAGTTGATGCAGTGCTGATGGGACAGCCAGCCATTTCCCACCACACAGCACAGCCATGCCTTTGGAAAGGGACAATTTCCCTGTGAAACCTTAGGATAAATGAATTCATGGTCTCTCTTGGAGCACTGAGGACATTACCAAGGATCTATACGCAATAAGCAGTGCCTTCCTTCCAAAATTTGCACCTGAAAAAAAGCCCTATACTCAGCCTGATATCAGGAGAATAGCTCAACAGGTTTTATAAGGATTAACAAGTGTGCAAATGTAGACGGTCTAGGTATTTCAAACCTAGGGGTTAGGACATTAAGCCACTTTCCCACCCCCTGTCTTTCAGAATACTGCTTAAATCTCGTAAGGCAGAGAGAGGACACACAGGTCAAACAGCAGATTACAACAGCTCAGAGTAACAGTGAAATTTATAGCTAATCCTGTGTGCTTCTCTCTTTCTTTCTAGACTCCATTTCAAATACAGCTCTGCTTTCTCTACCCTCAGAAGCCTGAAGGAGAATTCATTTTGCTCCATTCTCCATTTCATCTCCTCCCCCCCCCCCCCCCCCCCCCATTTCCTTGCATTCTTTTTGCTTCTGAAGACTTTCAGCTGTTCCTCAAAGGCTGTATAAGCATTATTGAAGAAATACAGAACTATTTGTGACTCTCTTACTTTGACACATCCCTAAGATCTGATACTGGAATTTGGGGCTTGCAGAGAGCTTCAGATCCTGTACAGGCTGTGGCTGGAATCACCAGTTTCCTAGCTAAACAAAGTTGGCATATATCATGGAGTGGGGGGAGACTCTTGGCAAGCAAAGTCTGTTAGGTAAGGATGAAGAATGAAGCAGGGAATTAGGAGTGGCAGATTGTTAAGTGGTTTTGTGGTAGTCGCATACCCACTGTTACATAAAGAGATGAGGCTGTACCGACCAGACTGTTACACAAGGTTCTACTTTGCCCAGGTGAAGAAGACCTGTGAGATATGGAACCCTTGTGTTAGAGGAGTTGGAAATGCAGAGTCAACTGTGTCCTCGCTCTCAGGTTTGTAGGCTACCCTGGTAAAACCTGGTGAAATCCAAAATGTTAAGGGGAGAAACAATTCTGTTTCTTTAGTATTAACAACTACTCCCCAACTCCTTGCCATCACTCATGATTTTGTTTCAAGATTACTGGAAAAGGAGGGAGATAAGAAAATCATCAAGGTATCGGGCTGGGTCCTGTGTTCAGCCTGCGGCATGGCACAGCAGTGCCCAGGAGGGCTCTATTGAAGGAGAGCATGTACTTAAGGACCTA